GGCGACGGCAACGGCGACGGCGACAGGACGGGTGGGGTCGAGGGCGAGGGCGACGGTGATGGTGAGAAGATGGGCCAGGTTGAGGTTGACGGCTGGGGTGAGGGCGAGAGGACTAGCAGCTCTGGCGTTGGAAGCGGGCAACCTCCAACATGTTGTTTGAATTGCGCTGCAGACATCCATCGACCACAGGAGCAGAAGCAAAGTCGATCCATCTTTTTGTGGCAACAAAGAGAAAGAAACCAAAGGAAATCGCAAAGCTATTTCTTGTCGACTGATGACGAACCATTACTCAACTGGCGGAAGCCGCCTTAACGCCTTTTCCTTCTCGCCCACCCAACCCAACCACCCCACCATCATGTGCCACTCCCTACGCCAGCCGCACGAACGCCAGCGCTCACAGCACCTCTCTGGCTTTCTCGTTCCTGACTCTCGCGGTCTAGCTTCTGTGCTGCAACCGCCAGACCCACCTGCAGTGGTCATAGCCGACCTCTGCAGCGAGCGCGAGCTACTCGCCACGCGCCTCAGTGCTGCTTCTGCTCAGCTTCGAATGGCGGAGGACGCTCTCATCCGTTCCATTGCCTCATCAATCCTACACGAAATCAAGCCCATCTACTCCCTCTCGCCCCCCGACCTCCACTTCGCATGCAGCCCCTCCTTCTACGACAACTTCACCAAGGGCTGGGAGAGCTACCAACCTGCCCGCCGCCGTTCTGGATACGAGTCTTATCGTCGCTGTACGTCCCTTTCCCAGTTCCTACGCCTCCTGCCCGGCTGGGACCTCAGCCGTGAGTACTCGGTTAGCGCGGAGGAGGTCCTCCACCTTTCACGTCTCTGCTTGCCCATCTCACCCCATCTATGCTATTTACTCTCCCTTGTACGCCCGTATGTCCCTTAGTTTTTATTACGCCCCTCACCCTCTACCTCCCCACTTCATCCCTCGCTTCCGCAAAGGCTCTGTGCGCAAGCGCCTTCTTTTCTACAGCTCCCCCCCTCAACGCCCCAAGCGGCGCCACCAGGCTGCCCTGACTGCAGAATAAACCTTTCTGGCATCCATGTCCGTAGCGCCAGGCGGCCTGTCTTCTGGCCGTCTATCCAATTTTTGTCTACGCTTGTGCGCCTAGCCGCACATGGACTTGGGGGTGTGGCGCCGAAATTTCGCGTACGCGGAGAGTGAGACGAAAGCAAGAAGAAAAGTCCCGCACGAAACGCCCCCGCAGCCACTACTCGGACTCTTCCGGTTTTATTGCTCTCCGCCCGCACGCTCTGGTGCACCTGCTTACAACAACAGCTCCTGCAGAAGATCTCTCAATCTTCTTCATCTCCATCTCCACATTACCACACTCCAGCCTTTTTTTTCTGGTTGGGACATGGCGCAGCAAGGGCTGGGAGAGAAAGTATGGTCGGCGCTCGAGCTCGAGTGGCTGCCGGCCTACCACGACTGGCGGTCGGCCCACCTGTGGATGGGGAAGCACTACGAGGTGCCGGTGGCGCTGTGCGTGCTCTACGTCATCGTCATCTTCGGCGGTAAGCGATTGATGAGAGATCGGAAGGCGTTCGATTTGCAGCAGCCGCTCTTCTTCTGGAACGTCTTCCTCGCGACCTTCTCGGCGATCGGCGCTCTGTGCACGGTGCCGCACATCTACACGACGGTGACGGAGAGGGGCTTCACGGAGGACATGTGCACGACCAGGTCCGAGCTGGCGAACCCGTGGGTCTACCTCTTCTGCCTGAGCAAGATTCCCGAGCTGCTCGACACGGTCTTCATCGTGCTGCGCAAGAAGCCGCTCATCTTCCTCCACTACTACCACCACGTGATGACCCTCCTCTACTGCTGGAACGCGTGGGCTCTCCACATCCCCAACGGCGGCTGGTTCGCGGCGATGAATCTCATCATCCACACGCTCATGTACTCGTACTACGCGGCCTGCGCGATTGGCGTCCGATTCAGCAACCGCACCCGCCTCTCGATCACCTCGCTTCAGATCCTCCAGATGATCCTCGGCGTCTCCATCGTGCTCCACAACCTTGTCGTGTGCAACACGCACCCGGAGAACTACATCTTCGGCCTCGTCATGTACGCGAGCTACATGGTGCTCTTCACCAAGCTCTTCCTCGACTCCTACGTCTTCAAGCGACCCGCCCGCGACGTCAAGTCGGCCAAGGAGAGGGCCGAGCGCGTCAAGGACGAGCAGGAGCAGGACCACACTGCCGATTCGTCTCGCATCAGGAAGCGACCGACCACCGTCAAGAAGGCCAACTAAGAAGCCTCCCTCCGGAACCCGAGCTTCTCCTTCGCCCCGGCGAAGTCCGCAGAGCTCCTTCGTCTTCCGCAACGGGGGCGCTCTTCATCTTTTTCTCGAGAGCAATACATATTTATTTTTCTTTCTGGCTTTTCCTGGAGCACCAGACAGGGCACTACCATACGTCAATAGCGCTGCCCACCATCACAACGGCCAGTCGTGCAGATGACCATCGTCCGCAAGCAAGGGGAGGACGGCACTGCTGGCGGCAGTGGGCCGGAAGGCCAGAACTGTATCTGTGGTCGGATTTTTCGGGTTTTGTGGGGTGGGTCGACGCTACATGAAATTTCACTCTTCGGATCACCTCACGCGCGGTAAGGCGGGCGCACGAGTTTCGATTCGAGAGCCACACCTGGGCGCAGCATGTGTTGTTGAATTGATTGAGGACTCGATAGACAGACGAAGAAGAGGAGCAACTTGATCCAAAGCAGCGGACTCTTCCTCTCTTCCTCCCTCGAACGGGCCGCTCGCCATCCATCTCTGTCTCTTCCGCCAACGCAAGCAAGATCGATTCGATTGTAGACTCAAGTAGAAAGCAAGCAATTAATTGGGCATCAATCCAGCATGTGGGTCTTGTTCGCGCCCGATGCCGGCACTGACCCCCTGTGGCAGACACTGGAAGAGAATGAATTCTTCGAGCTTCAAGCCTACAAGCCCGCCACATCGAGCAAGAATGAAACATCACTACTCTCCATGCTCACGGCTCTTCCCTCATCTCTCCTCGCCACCTCTCGCGCCCCCAGCTTAATTGGTGGGGGAACCGAAGAGAACTTTCCTTACCGCATTCTTCTCAAGACACAACCCCCCTACGGTACTTCCATCCATGTGCATCTCTTTATTAAATCACCATCATTTTCGTGCCTGAATTGCCATCCCTCTGCAACTATGACCATGTTAACTCCTCAATTAATTTGCACTTTTAAAATCTTGTGACTTGTCCCTTCTCAATCCTTTGGCTTTTGCGTGGTGGGTTCCATTTCATCAATTCAGCTTCCGATTTTCACTATACAATTGATTGATTTTATTACTAATTTCATCCATTTGTTCCTCACAGGCCAGCGCCATGCCGCGAAGCAGCAGAGCAAGGAAGCCAAAGACTCCGGATCTGTGGAGCTCTCGTCCGTTGCGGACAGCTCTCACGGTGGCAGCCGCGCCCCCGCTCAAGTCATCGCGCTTGCCAAGGTACCCACCTCTCGTTCTACCGTGGCCTCCAACGCTTGTGGCTTTGTTGCCAGTGCTGTTGCTCACCTCTCTGTTGCAGGACCTGCGGGTAATCAAGGAGCACTGGAACTGGCTCGTCAATGACATGTCGACAGCGTGCTCCTTCTTCACGCGAGAGTCGGAGAAGGAGGAGAACGAGCTGTGGGACTTCCTTCTCATGAAGTTCACTTCCATGGCGCAACAGGAAGCGAAGAAAAGGGTACGCGTGCGCGTGTCTGTCGTTGGTGTTTCGCTTTTGCTCTTCGCTTTCTTCTTCGCTCTTTGCCCTGCTCCCTGCGCCGGGTATCTATGTCCTAAAGATTGTCTGTGTACTGTCATCCAGGAAATGCAACGAGAGCGTGAACGCGAAAAGGCCATGGAGCGCGAACGTCAGCTCGAGATCGCCACCTTCGTAGACAACAAGCACAAGTATGCCAAAAAGCAGGCCAACATCATGATCAACGAAGAGGAAGAGGAGGACAACAAGGCCAAGGAAAAGCGTTTCGAGGAGATGGATCAGAGCCGCCAGGCGCTTTGGAAGAAGCTCTTCCCGAAGATCTCCACCATCGAGCGGCTCATCGTTGGTACCAACTGCGCCCCGCTCTCGTTGTGCGTGCGTTCGTTTTTTTTCAAACTTTCGTTGGTGTTTGCACGGGCAGCTCGAATTTTGCACCAATCCCAGCGACAATTACCGATAGTTCGTCACCAGATCACCGTTTCAATTGATAACTTTCACAACATTTAATCATTTAATCAATTCGAATCTGACGCGAACACCGTGTTTACGCGCACAGAGTATCCGTGTTCGCTGGAGCGAAAGGGTGTCGAGCGACGAGGCCTCTTGTTAGTCACCCCGCGACACGTCTGCTTCCACAGTCCGCGGCTCAACACACGCGTGGCCATCTACTGGCGGGTCATCACGTCGCTCTCGCGCGCCACGGCGGTCAATGGCACCGTCCCGGCCATCTACGTAACTTGCCTCGGCGCCTACCACGAAGAGGTAACTGCTGTTTCCTATCTTCTTCTTGCCCCCTTTGCCGCGCCAATGGTGTTGTTCTGTGGCTGTGACTGTCCTTAACTCTTCCTCTTTCTGCCCAATTAGTTTTTGTTTCACTCTCTCGCAGACTTTGAGCAAACGATGGGCCTCCTGGTCCGAATATGGCACATGGCGCTGCTCGAGGTGCGACATCTTTTTCTCGTGAGTGCTGGAGGGGTAGAAAATAATAATGCGAGCG